GAGAAAGACTAAGGTGTCTTCATGGAAGAAAACATGACTCCAGAAATAGAATGTTTGAGAAAAATATCAATTTCTAAGAAAAATCGGATGAATTAGCAACTGCTGTACTAAAGAAAACATCAGTTATAATCACATATGTAAACAAAAGAAAAAACAGTGAAAGCTTTTACTGTAGTTTGCCTTGTCAAGAATCTTGACAGTATTTTCAAATCACCAAGTATTCACCACCTGTGATGTAAGTTACCAGACATTCTTGGATAGGATCAATTAAGCCTGTGTCCAGCTCAGCAAGAGGCATTCCCATAGTTTCCTTAGATTTTGTGTACCTTGACTTTTTAAATGTACAATGGCATTGAAGGGCTTTATCATAAACTAAGAGTAATAAATTCACTCGGAAACATCAAGTTACATCTGCTTTGCTTACAGCTTGCAAAATATCCAAAGAAGCTTAATAAAGAAAATACAGACTTTGGGAAACAGAAGTGATTGTGAAATCACTAAAAATTTCTCCAAACTGAAAAAGAAATTTAAAAATAGGAGAACAAAACAGAAAGGGAAAGAAAAAAGAAGAGTGAGAAATTAAAAATAAGAGCAAAGAGAAAGAGATAAAGATTATGAAACTAACCTTACTCACAGTCAAAATGTCATTCAGCGATCTTCTTTTCATTCCTAGAAAGTACCTATATTAAACCCATTTTTATTAAAAGTGGGTTTTTCTGCCCAGCTTGACTTTACGTTCTAAATATATATATATACAGACATACAATCAATTTTTCATTCCCGATCAGAATAATTCATTTCAAATCCTCTTTTTTTTTTTTTTAACCCAAGACCTGTTTGGAGTTTCTACACAAATGTAGGAATATCAAGACCTTGAACTTCACTGCAGGTGTTCCCAGTTTGCATTATCAAGAACAAAGTCTTAGATACAACCCTCAAACATCAGGTACCTTTTGTATAATATTTTTCAGAGTTGTGCTGATGAAAAATAAATACTCGATATACCTAGGAAAATTTGTTGTAAATAAAATTTGTAACATACCTGTATTTATACACTTGGATAAGTACGTATTGGGTGTATGTGTGCAAGCATACACTCATATATGCATTATACCTATTTGCATACATACATATGTGTACATATTTATCAAAATCTCCAAAACTGGTTCAGCAAAACAGGTTTTTTCAGCAATTAATGCATCAGTAATACAATTGCCAGTGAAATCTATTTCCACTAGTATCCAGCTTTCCTAGTTTCACTCTGAGATTCAAATTCACCATTATGCAAAACTTTTACTAATCCAAATAAATAAAAAAAATCCACACACAGAAAAACTTGATGTATTTCTTTTGTCTGACTTTTGTAAAACCATTGAAACTTGGTGCTCACTTCACAATCTCAGTTGAGAGAACTGTCAATTAAGAGACTCACTTCTTGTAATGAATGGAGCACAAACTGACTTTAGGTGTTTCTTCCCGTGTTTCTTCATGGTTTTGTATGTGCTGCACAGGAGCAAAACATATATCAGGATACAAGAAATCCTGCTTGGGAAGGCTGGAAGACTGAGATCAAATCTGCAATTTTTCACTCCATTTTCCTATAAGTGTCTCACACAGTTTAAGTACTAGTGAGATTTGCTACTTGGATACTTTTACATAAAAATATTTCTTCTTCTACACTCCCTTGAAAGTCAATGTTGACTTCACTGAGGTAAGGATGGAGCATTATACAGCCCAAAAAAGACATTGCTCTTGACGACCCACAGCTGGTGTGCACGCACTCCCTTCTCAAGTTTCACTCTTTTACCACCTCCTTCCCTCTGAGACTAGAGAAATGCAATAAAGTCCGTATCTTCTCTACAACCCCTGTCTTGAATAGTGGGGAAGGAACCAAGGGAATGAAACTGAAGTGGCTGGCACTATATCCTATAGTGATACAGTGATAAAAATAAAGGAATTCAGCTGACTCAAAATACACCTGTGTGAAGGAATCCTAACACATTTGATTCTAATGTATACCTCTGATGTATAACTATACTTAATATCTGCTGTCTTCTCTAATCCTTATTGAGTACAATGCTATCACCTAGAAACACAAAACTCAGAACCAAAGTAAGCATTTATTTGCAAAATATTTTGCTTAGGTTAGAACTGGCAAGACTATGTGCTCGGGGTATCATCACAATATTTAATGAGTGTTTTAATAACAAAAACTTTCAGTGAGTGGTTTTAAGGTTAAGAGAAATCATAACTAAGTTTTAAAAGAACTCTTCACCTACACCATTTCTCTTGTAAGTTGCTGGTACAGAATGTGAAATGAAATAGTATTTGCAATCAATGTCAAGAGTTTAACATTTTGGATTTTGTACACTAAATGTTATTCAAGAGTGACACTTTGAAGAAGTGCGTTCCAGTGTGATACCTAATCGGCAGCCTTCTTCATGGCTACAGTTTTCCTGCTTTGTTGCCAAGCTTCAGCATATTAATAAGCAAGGACATTTAATGAGAGGAAGCACTCCAAAGTAACACACTTAACTCACTGTCTTTACTGGCTGTATCATAGTAAAAATGTACACTTATGCCAAAGGGAACTTATGCCTTTAAACTGCAACTCTAAATTGCAACTAACATGCTGAAGCCAGGATGTCACAGTTATACATAATTACCATTTCTACAGAAGCCTGTTTCCTGTGGTGACAGTAGCATATTTAAAAGATAGCATTTTCAGACTTTGATGTCACTTTTCTCATACAAAACTGTTTTTTCACTAAGAGCCCCATTGAGTAGCCCAGCCTTATCCAGTAAAGCACTTAAGCATATGCCTAGATCCCATTTATTTCAAAGGAACTTAGGCACATTATTATGATTTTTTTTTCTGAAAAAGGATTGAACTTAAGTATATATTCCAAATGCTTTGTCATATGGGAACCTAAAGTAGGAGCATAACTCCTAACTGCAATACTGCTAATACTCCTGACTACCCAGGAATTTTAGTGACAACAAGTTTTATCACGTTTTACAGGTTTATTTTTCCAAATAATGTTTTAGTATCATCTTGTCTTATCACACAGCACATGCTGTAAGCTTATTACAAGCCAACAAAAAAGTTTGAAAAAATATTAAGCTTAATCATATTTGAATCTTTAATACTTTACCAGTGCTGCTCATGGCTTAAAGACCGTAAGCTTTAAATACCACTGAAGCTTTTTTTTTCATATTTGAAATGAGAATGCTAAGAAAGGTATCTGCTGCTTATACAACAGGTTGTAAAGCAGAAATTCACAGAGAAGCCAGGGAAAAACCCTTCCTATGTCTCCTGCATTTCTCTCTCCATCTTTTACTTTTTCTTATTCACAATCACTGTAATAAAAAAGGTGTTTTCCTGGATAAATATTACAGAACAAAGAATACAGTGTGATTGGCTCCGTTATATTACCAATTTTTTTTTCCAGCAACCTCGCTATAAATAGTGCCCAGACTGTATAGCAGTAGACACTGACACCTTGTACAAAATACCTCTGTGCTACTTAAAACCTGAGGAAACCCTTTTTAGCAACCCTATCACTGAAGTCACCCTTTATAGAAATAATTACTCTCTAATATCTGTGTTTGTTATTTTGTGTGGTTTTTTTTTTAATTAAATCCTCATTATAATAATCTGTGGTGGTTTTAATATTTATGCACTAAGGGTGTCACAGTGGGGAGGCTGTGTTGTTGTCATTCTTCGAACAGAAAACTGGGTGCAGTTTTCCTCAGGGTCCTTCAGTGATTTTCACGACTAGGGTAGACCACAGTGGCTGCTGAGGTGTGTATAATGCACTGCCTCTTCTTCATAAGCTGATTACATTTTCTCTCTTACAATAATTTCTTACAGCTAGAGCACAGAATTGAAAATTTAGAAATGCATTTTCTGTTTCTCACTGGGCCACAGTCTTCCTATGTGGATCTTGAGCAAATTGTTTTACTCACCCTACCTCTGCTTTTCACATCTGAAAATTAGAGATAAAAGCAACAGGAGCACTTCAAGGCTTAATTCATTAAAGAACTTTCAGGTCAATGAATGGAGGTTGCTACAGATTAACATATTAAAAGTTTTAATAATTTACTTGTGATCTACTTTAACTGATGCAAGAGGTTTCTAAACGAGAAGCAACAGGAAAATTTAACACTATGTCACTGGTATACATGTCCAGTTTTATAGACCAGTAACTGTAAACGAAAGATATTAATGTGTTTGCTCTGTCTGGGCTGTGTACCAGAGTACTAACATACACTTCAGGAATAACCTTCTTCTGATGGAAAGTTAAAATAAAGCTAAATGCAATATAAATACATACTTCATGTTTACACACACATACACAGTACATATACAGAAAATGTGTGCATTGAGATACTAGTCCAAAGAAAAATATTTTCCTTGATTGTGTTACAAGGCCATAATTTTTCAAGCTCAGTGATACATGTTGTAGAAATGCTCTGAAATAAAATGCCTGTAATTAACCAACATATGATTTTATATAACATCCTTTGTTTAATATATGTCCTCATATTAATGTACTGTGGTTAAAGGAAAATAAAATAGTTAGCATAGGAAGAAAAGACTTATTTGTATTTTTAAAAATAATAAAATCTGCCTTATTCCAATAGCATTTTTCCTCAGGATTTTTTCCTTTTAAAAATAAAAATTCCATTTTCCTGTCTGAATTCAAAATGATTGACTGGAGCACAATATTAAGTAATAAATAAAACAGTCCCAGTGCCTGAAAGACTCCTGAATAAAGAGAAAATTATTTTTGGATTTTCCTTCTGATCAGATATGAAATATTCTGAAACGCCACCTCTATAATTTGATAAAAAGCTTGATATCCCCAAATGAAAATAGGATTCAGCACTTTCATTTTTCTGTCTCTAAAGGAACCTCTAGGTAAACTGATTTTAAAAAAATGAAAATCTCAAGCATAAAGGTGGGAGTAATGAAGCAAGTTTAAATATGCGCTGACCTTTGAAATGAACTGCATTCCATGTTGTTTGGCCAAGAAGCTGGCTGTGTTGCTGTCTCCATCAATTTCCACAGCATAAAAGATGTGGGTTTTGGAGCTGCCCTGCTCTCTGGTGGATGTTGATAGGCATCGCCGCCAATACACTAGTGCTGATAGTAACAGCCACATGTTCATTGCTCTGAAATATTAAAAAGAAATCCACATGGGATAAAAGTGTAAGCACCTTCTTTTGTTGTTGTTGTTCACTGATGGAATTTACCCAGAGGTGGCTGTATTTTATTTTCCCCTTCTTTGGTTATAAAATAAACTCCTACAATCTTTTATTTAGTAGCAATATTAAACTAAAATAAGAGAGCAAAACAAAACACATTATTTTTGGAAGCTAAGAGTATTATGCTGTTTGATCTAAAAGCAAAGTAATATTATTTTATATGATTTTATTCATACAAATTCAAAAATAAATATGTACACTCTTGTGCATCTTTAGTGATGTAATTATTTCCGTTTTGCACTCCTCTTTTACTAGATGTTTCACTAGTTTTATTCACTGATTTGTTAATCTCAAGCTGTTCACTAGACCTCAAGGTCAAATGGCATTCTCTGAAAAATTTCAGTGTTTGATATCAAAATGGAAGATTGCCACCTGAATGCATAGTAATTTTATTAACAATCACTAATCTAAATATCTGTATATCTATTCTGAGTCCTTCTGTAATATATTTTTTCAAATATCAGTTTAAAAAAGTGTCTTATGATCTAATCATATATTGCCTAAAAAAATGAATGATAGAAAGATGACAAAGTCAAGATTATACATATCAGAAGTACTACGGCTATCTTAATTAGGCAATATTCATACCTGGCTGAAAATTGATTCTATACATGCTAACTCTTAGGATTACATCCTGGCTTTAACAATATGACAGTAGAAAAAAACTACCCTAAGTGATACCCTCGTGTTTCATATGTAATGGAACAAGAGTATCTTTTAAGTAGATGTGCTATTAGGTACTAACAGTGGTAGCAATCCAACTACTTTTTCCACCTACATTCCCATTCTTTACGGCACCAGTTAAGATCTGTACAATAACAGAATTTAAAAACTAATTTTGAAATTGATGGGACAATAGAGTTTTAGATGTTATAGGCAGTCATGTTCATTTATATGCTTGCAATGTTTGCAGCAATTATTATTCAAATAGTCTTTTAAAACAGGAGTTAGATATAAGTGATCAGCGGGACCATACAGATACGTAGAAATAAACCATTGTATCAATGCAATCTTTGAAGATACACATCTGTCTTTCCTAAGCCATGTCTTTCATTTGCATCCTTCTTGGAAGACCAAGAACCAATGCAAAGCAGCCAGTGACTGAATTCCACCCCCACACCCATAGCAGCTCTTTTTAAATAATATTCGGTGCAAATTAAGGTGCAACAGAAAAAACAGTTTATCTCTTACCTTGCTGTCCACAATAATATAAACCTACGATCTTTAATAAACGCTGCCAGACTGAAAAAACATACTTAAGGTATCTGCACAGTTAAAGATAAAAATCTGATCTTGAATGAGATCCTACAAGCTAGATACTTCTGAAAAGGCCTAGTAAAGCCTATCGTATGGAATCCCTAGTAATTAGAGTGTTTCTGGATTCTGACTGCTATCTGAAGCACAGACAGAGCCTCACAGAGGCGAGCAATTTTTTTTAGCCAGACATATGCAGTCTAAATTTCTAAAGTTCCTCTTCAAATCTTAGGTAAATATGTAGTAGGGACGCTATCGGTATTCCACATGGTGCTTTTTGGAACACCAAGGATTGAGGTACTGGGGACTGCAATTTAGTTCTGTTGTTTAGCTCAGCAATCGGATTATGGCCCTATGAAATGAAGCCCAGTAATCAATGAAAAGGAAGCCATGACGATTATGGAATATTAAGTTTCAGCTCCTACCTATAAGATGATGAAAACTTCATCAAGTATTGTCCAGGACAATGCATGAGGCTAAAGGTTATTTAACTTTCTTGTTGTGTTTCTTTCTTGTCCTGTGTTTCTTCTGCAAGTCTACTTTGTATGGGCTATCTACTTATATGGTGATTGAATCAGAAAAAAAAAAAATTACATTACAGCTCAGTCTACTCTAAACATAATTCAGAATGGATTTCAACCAAGGTCTCTTCCTATCAAACCTAATGCAGTCTAGAGTCATTTGATCTCCACAGCCATCTTAGGGCAAAGTAGTTGGCATATGTTTAGAGTAAGCCAAAGGCGGAGGAGTGTACAGAGGAACTGGGGGCGCAGAGAGAATTAAGAAAAAAAAATGCAAATTGGTAATGTAGACTCACCCTGTACAATTCATTTGAATTATATTCATTTGACTCACCTGAATAAAACATTTCCAGAATCAAAGATCAAAATCAGTCTACCTAGAATGCCCTAGATCATCAAAGCATTCTTTTAGGAAAAGAAAAATACAGGTTTATCTACCTGCAGAGAGAAGTAAGGGTAGAGCACCATATTTTTCAGTAAGAGACTAACACCGATGGGGTATTGATAAAAGTGGTTTGGAGATACTTCTCTCCTCTCATAGTATATTCCTTGATATTCACTTTACTGCTTTTCAAATTGAACTATTTTGCTCGTGCTAAAGTAGAGATTTGCAGAACTTACTCACATTTTCAAGCTGATAAGATTTGGCAAATTTGACCTGACCTGAATGGAACCGCTCTGCAGATCTTTTTTTTTTTTTTTATTACCAAACAATTTTCTGGGGCAAAAAAAAGAAATAAAATGCTGAAAAAAATTCTACAGACAACACAATGCAAACACGTCTGAGAGGCATTTCTTATATACTAGTGGCTTATGCTAACTGTTACTAGAATTGGAAAACAAAATGCTGGGAGATTAAATGGGAAACAATATAAAAAGCAATAATCACTGAAAGCCTCTGCTATTCATATATACACTAGGAAGCTTCAACCACCAATATAAAATTAGCCATATGTGACATCAAGATGATACTTAGAAAAACAGTTGATTGACAAACTGGAGAAAAAAACCTCTACAATTAGTAAAATTTTAGATGTCTGTTTCTGAAACCAGATGGTAATCCTGCAAATGTATATTTTCACAGAAGTGTTATACATTTAATAATTTTCCTTTCCACCAATTGACTGGATTCTTGCTCTCAAAGAAATTACAAATCCATCCTAGAAAGTGGAGTTGGTAAACCCACTCAAACACACCTTCAAAAGCAAAGTCAACATTTTAAATAATATTTCACAGGTACAAGTAGTAGTTGGACACCTTCACAGTCATGACATTGAAGCAAATCAAAACAAGTGCAGTTTCACCCCAATTGTTAGTTCCTGAAAACAAAGTGGGTGGGGAAAATACATTATTTTATCTTTACAAAAATTCTATCTACCTCCTCATGGAACTTAAATTCAGGATGAGATTAAAATTTACTCAAACCTGAACAAGATAATAAGGCTTGGAAAACTGCAAGATCAGGAAAGGCATGTAACAGTTGAAAATTGGAATCATGAAAGATTACACCTGTACAAAGTAATCCCCATCCCAAGACTGATCCTATATTTCTCCCACAATGCAGTTTTTCCCTATGTTCCAATCCATATATTGGGACAACGAAGAGACTGTCTCACCTATACTCTCCAAAGGCAGAGGCTAATGGAAGGTAAATTGGACAGAGGAGGATCTGTGTAGCAGTAGAATGGGAAAACAGACATCAAGGGGCTGCTGTTGGGCACGAGTAAAACTGGTGACTTATCTTAGAGGCTTTGGATTAAATGATTAGGATAACAAGGACTGAGTGCCAGGGCAGCGGGACTATTGCTTGAAAGCAAAAGATGTTAAAAGAGAGCATATACCAGCAACTGAGTGAGAGACTGAAATAAAGAAATTATTTGCATACCTCGACTCACTGGGATGTCAGTTGATATGAAGTTGGTTCAAGTGACTAGAAGGACAATTGGTTAAACAGAACTATAAAAAAAGAGTCAGGAATGAGAGGGAGTCTGGGAAGGTCCAACATTAGATGAAGAGATCTGCACGATTATGGAGGGACAGATTAGAGAAAGGGAGAACGGAAAGAAATACAGAGTGCTGAGGAACATGCCTCCATGAGGATACAGCAAGTTGCCAAAGGATGACATTTCTACTCTAATCCCCCGCTAAGAAAATCCCACGCATGAGTTAATCATACACACAACATGTTACAGAATCACAGGATGGTAGGGGTTGGAAGGGACCTTTGGAGATCATTTTGAAATAACACTGATTCTTTTCTACAGGGTCAGTAGCAGATAAGCATCATGTTTTACAACTGCTAGTCTTGAGAGTGTTCTGGGTCTGTTACATCAGAGATCCCAATTTAAATTCTAAATGCCAATAATAAATCCTACAACAAATTAGTAGCTTCCTGAAGTTATTACACAACGCATCCTTATGTTTCTGAAGAGTAATTTTGCTAAGTAGGCCCATATACTCCCAAAAAAGACTATAGTGGTGTTTACAGTCACACACAGAAAAATAGCCAGATGTGAACCTGAATTTCTTAGGGTGACTGGAGTTAAATATGATTCAATCATATTTAATAGCAAAAACCAAGTAATTACCACCAGAAATATTTGCAAAAATGTTGGGAAAAAAATTTCATATGAAACAACAGTAAATTTTCACTTTTCACCAGAAGTGTCTGTTGCTTTATAAATAAAACAACAAAATCTAACTAAAAAAAAAGAGACGGGGGGGTGAGGTGGTGGTTAATGAAAAGAATGAGTGTTTTTGCATCACCTTTCACTGAGAAAAAAATGATCTCCTTAAATTGTAGTGAGACATTCTTTAGTTTTCTATGAAACACTGCGAAACAGCTAAACTACACGCTTCGCTTTCTGAATTATGAACTGTTTTCTTACAGGCTTTGTATCATATGCTGACCAAGCCCAGTTTTGCTCCGGTTTATGACATGTGACAAGACCACAGTTAAAGTTGATCTACGCCGCAGGCTATTCGTGTTGTCTGCTCAGATGGTTTGTTATAATGCCATGAGTCCACATACTGTACCTTCTTTGTTTTCTTTCATTTATTTTACTGAAGTTTTATAACACCAGAGACAGAGGCAGGATCTGAATTTATGGCATTGTTTCTCCCAGCTAAGAA